TTCTGTACTGCCAATTCATCATTGCAAAATTCTGTGATTCCCAACATCTACGTGTAAAATGGAGGTCCAGATCAGAGCCTTATTGAAGCAATATTCACTTACTAGGACACTTGTCTGAAATGGATATAGAAGGATCAGCCCCGGGGGCCTTTTGTAGGAATTAATGGGATCCTATTTTGAATTCTCTAACACCTGTCTCTAACAGGAGCAAACTATGGGCAAATCTCCTTAACATTATGTGGAGTTTTTGACATTGGTGATCAATCTTGCTGTCACTCAGCTAGCTTCTGAAATTGGTACAATCCCCAAACATGGTATCAAGTGTTTGATTATTCTTGAATAAATGAATCCAAACATAAGCGCATTTTGTAACAAGGCTAAAGTAGATGTCAGAAAAAACTTACCTAAGGTAATAAAAGACTTTAGGTAGAAAGGTATTCCAATTATTTGGACACAACAATTGATCTTAATAATGAAACTACAGTGGGATTCAGAGTGGCAGACCATAATTATCTGGCTGGCACAGAGCCAGGTCACCAAGTGTTAACACCTTTGATCTTCAATTAGCCCACCCGTCACAAAAAGAAAATTATCAAGAGAGTGAAAAGACAGCTGAGAGAGGAATAGTAACACTCTCTTTTCTGCATTATTATATTACTACATGTTGGGGTATAAAGTAGACTTCCTAAATATGGATTACTGAGAAGTGTTTTCAGTTTTTAAAATCATGATGAATTATAATCTCATAATTTAATATTTTGTTTTACTCCACTTGCAAACAATTGAAATGGGCTTTTTATGAGCTTCTCAACTGATAGGAAATAGTGTGGATGGGAAGATTTTAAATTAGATTAGGATTTTTTAAATAATGATCCTATTGCCAAATATTGCTAGGGAAGCCTACATATTGATAATACAGTACAACCCAAAATGAACACTACACGTAGTCAATTTACAACTATTCACATAGCAACTGTTTGAAGTTACAATGGCACTGAAAAAAAGTGACTTATGATAGATTCTTGCACTAATGACCATTGCAACATCCCTACAGTCAGGTGATCAAAATTTGGGTGCTTGGTAATGGGCACGTATTTACAATGGTTGCAGCATCCTGGGGTCTTATGATTGCCGTTTGCAATGTTCCCAGCTGGCTTCTGACAAGCAAAGAGAATGGAGGAAGCCAGATTCTCATAATATCCACAAAATTCACTTCAATAACCGCAGGGATTTGCTTAATAATGGCAGGAAAAGTCATAAAATCAGGCACAAGTTACTTAACAATTACCTTGCTTGTGGCAAAACCTGTTTTGTTTATTAGATTTATAATCTACCTTTTATTCAGGAGAATAAGTTGATACTCCCTCAGCCTTATGAGGCAGTTCAGAAGGGAAGCCCATTGTCCAGATGATCTATTTTATTATAAGGTTTCTTGTATGTTGCCTTTAGAGCCCAAGAAACTGGGGAGTGGCATTGTTCTGAGATATATGTCACGCCCACATTCCTTCTGGGATAAACTGCCTCTTATCTGACCATTCACCTATGGTAACAGAGACCATTCCCCTGATATCCTTAAATCATTCCTACATACCACTACATTGTAGGTGTACATTGTAGGTTGTAGGTGTTTCATTACCCATCAGCAGCAGAGTCATGCAATATTATGCAGCATTATGCACTGATGATGTTACCTAGTGGGGTTAAAGAAAACGTCTTTTAATAAAAGGGTGACATGATTAAAAGTTAGAATAGAGATCGAAATAAGAGAAAGGGGGAACATTAGTCTATACATTTTTATATAATAAAATAAAAGCAATAACAAGAGGGAAGCTTAGAAATTGAATGGTAGTATTATTATGCATGATCAAATAATATGGCGAGTGGTATTAGAGCGCTATATTAAAACATGGAATGATTAAATAATGAGAGACTACAATTTAATATAAATGTGCATTATTATTAGAAATATATAAGTTGGTTGAAGGTAATAACTAGGATTAATTTTACTTGTTTTATTTGTATTAGAATGTATGACACCCAGATGCCACAGTGCTCACACATTGATATAATGGAAGAGGGGAGAGAAAATGACTCTGGCTAGTTTATTAACTGCCACATTGCTGGGAAGATCAGACTTCATCTTTTGTTTCTTAGTAAGCTTTTTCAGTATAAGCTTCTTTGTTTCACACTAGATGTCACCCTTACTGGTATCCAGACAGAAGACATGACCAGATGAGCTGTTTCTACTTTATTATAGGGCTATATTAATAGAATCTGGCAAGTCTGAAAGTACAGTTATAACCCAATAAATCAGGTTACTGACCCATTGTGGCGCAGTGGTTAGAGTGCAGTACTGCAGGCTACTTCTGCTGATCACCAGCTGCCAGCAGTTTGGCAGATCAAATCTCACCAGGCTCAAGGTTGTCTCAGCCTTCCATCCTTCAGAAATCAGTAAAATGAGGACCAGATTGTTGGGGGCAATAGGTTGACTGTGTAAACTGCTTAGAGAGGGCTATAAAGCACTGTGAAGTAATATATAAGTCAGGGGTGAAATCCAGCAGGTTCTGACAGGTTCTGGAGAACTGGTAGCAGAAATTTTGAGCAGTTTGGAGAACTGGCAAATACCACCTCTGGCTGGCCCGAGAGTGGGGTGGAAATGGAGATTTTGCAGTATCCTTCCAGCAGGAGTGGGGAGGGAATGGAGATTTTGCAATATCCTTCCAGCAGGAGTGGGGAGGGAATGGAGATTTTGCGGTATCCTTCCCCTGCCATACTCATCAAGCCACGTCCATCATGCCACACCACATCCACCAAGCCACGCCCACAGAGCCTGTAGTAAAAAAAATTGGATTTCACCACTGGTCTAAGTGCTATTGCTATTGTTATTCTGATTCTCTTGCTCCACCCATTCGCCAACTACAGACTAAGCTGACCATTCCCTAGGAAGTCTCTTTGGACTCAGTCCCTCAAAATCATTCTCACACACCATTACATCAGAACTGATCAGCTCCTTTATTATTCAACTATAGGACTGTTGGGAAAGTCATACCCCACCCCCCAATAGGTAATTTTGTTATTGGCTTGCTATACCTATGACCTCATTTGAGGATCTCATTTGATTATCTAAAGCAACAATCAATCCATTCAGAGATTGATTTTAACATTTTTGTTTTTATTTTCTGTTATATTGGGTTTTTCTCTTTGCAAACTGCCTCAAGTTACTGAGAGAAAGTTGGGCAGCCGTATACAAGCAATGGGTGGAAACTAATCAGGGAGAGAAGCAACTTAGCACTAAAGAGAAATTTCCTCTACAGTTAAAACTATTAATCTTGCCTCCAGAGGTTGTGAATGCTCCAACACTGGAAGCTTTTAAAAAGAGATTGGATAACCATCTGTCTGAAATGTGTAGGGTTTCCTGCCTAAGCAGGGGGTTGGACTAGAAGACCTCCAAGGTCCCTTCCAACTCTGTTATTCTATTCTATTCTATTCTATTCTATTTTATTCTATTCTATTCTATTCTATTCTATTCTATTCTATTCTATTCATTTTTTTTAGATATAACTATCTCTCTACTCTACAACACAGAAATAGCAGCACTCCAAACAACTAGAGAAAGGGACAGCTGAATAATATTAATCAGGATGTAAAGATGGCTCCTTTCCTGGGATTCTCTTCACATGCTATTTTACTTAAATAAATGACATGTAGTTGTTTTAATTTGAATTGTCTTTCTTTTTAAATTTGAAATTCATTTGTAAGTTCCCTTTTATTTCTTCCTTTCCAAAATTAACTCTTTTTCTGTACTGAGATTTGGCAGTTGTGAACATCAATTCTCATGCAGTTAAAACAAAAAACAAGTAGTATAGATTGTTTAGTATAGATTGACCACATAAGGTTGCTACCAAACCAAATAACTGGTGGAAACTATATCTCCTGGCAAGAAGAGAATTACTTCTTTGCAGAAAACAGATAGAAAAAGCATCAAGCTGAACTGGGGTAAACAGAGCTTAGGTTTGACAACTTGTAATTATAGAAATTGTTCCTGTAATTGCTTCTTAGTACTTCTGCAATATTTTTTTTTTCATTTATCAAAAGTTAATGAATTCCTCCATTTAAACTTGTATTTGGTTTAGCATTGTGAGGAATGAAATGGGAAGTAAAAGAGTTCTTAGCCTGATCCAGCATGGTTGTTGGGACTTTTGACAGTGTTTTCACAAATGTTGCTTAGAGGGACCTGTTCAAAGCCACCACAGCTGCAAAGATGGAGGATGCTAATCAGGCAACACTGCTTTACTATAACACTAACGAAGAGCTGCTCCCTGTTGAGCTTCTATTGCGTTAGGGTACTCTTAGGTATTTTCCTAGCCAGAGGATCGGGCTTCCCCCCCAAAAAACGCACTGGGCAGAACGATCTGGCTACAGCCTCCTTCCCGGCGCTTTGGAGGCTCAACAGTGAGAGGTGGGCAAGGCACGAGACAGAAAGGGCGCGGGGAGGAGGTATCGGAAGCAGATTCAGCGGGTCGAGCCGCCAAGGGGGCCGCAGCTGGGACGAAGCAACGCGAGGCACAGCTTAGCGGTGACCCAGACCAACGCTTTCAACGCTGCCTGGGAGAAGTCAAAATTTAACTTCGATGCAACGGGCAAGCAGGAGGTGCAAAACCGAATGGACATCTTCTCTGTAAGTCCCCTGCGAAATTTTGCAAGCACCGCGTCCCGAACCTGCCAGCCTTTTTCCCGCGAGTTTCCATTGACTGCAAGGAGGCTGCGTTTAGGAAGACTCGAGTCTTCTTCTATCCCAACAAATATTCTCCCCGTGCCGTAGTTTTCCCGAACTTCATTCGCTGCCGGCGATTGATGAATTCGAAGTAAGAGGATGTATTAGTAGTAGGGCTAAGGAAGGCGAAGACCGTCTTGGCCCCAGCAAAAGCTTTCTTATAAAGCCGCCGCCCCACCCTCCCACCCTCACCGCCACCACCGCTTTGGATAAATCTGTTAAACATATGGCATCTTCCTTTCAGTCATCTGAGAAACTGAAGGTTAAGCAAGAAGACGGTAGAGATGCAGGAGCAAACCACCCCCCAGCCCCCGAAAGAAAAAATGCCTTAAAAGAAAAGTCTGATGAATGTGTCCAGAGAAGAATAAAAGGGCGAGGTCAGGATGAAGGATCTCGAATAATATATCATAAAGCTCTGATGGGTGTATTTGGGGGAGAATTGCAAGCTCAAAGAAAAACTTCATCTACAAATGAAATTCATAAAGAAAGCTCTTCTGGAAAAGAGGAGCTTGGACCAGTTAATAACCTGGGAGAATTTTCAATAGTATCAAAAAGTAGAAGGCGAGAAATTGGAAAGAATTCACATTGTTTGGAAACTGTCCCACGGGAGCATAACTTTTCTGCCAAGCAAGACAATAAAGAACCAGGTTGGTCAGGTGGCAATTCAAGATATGTACCTGTAACATCAAGTTTAAGGGGGAAAGGATCAAGACCAAAGGATAAAAAAAATATCCAACAGGCTCCCAACAATGAGAAAGCTGTTACAAAAACTTCTGGAGATGGTGTTGAAGAGGATTCCAAACCAATGCTTGATTCAAAACCAAGTTATCATCTATCAAGACCTGAACTTGAACTTGAACCTCAACAGATTTCCAACATTAAGAAGGCCGTTTCAGAAACAGGAAACAAAGCTAAGTATAACATGAAAGAACTTTCCAAGACAGTGGTTACTTCCAAATATGTTCATACAGGATCAAGTCATGAAAATGAACTTTATCAGGGATCAAATGACTCATATGTTTCAGTAAAAGAGAAAACAGATGTTCAACAGAATAAAATGTTTCGGAAAGAAAATTACCAACCAAAATACAAATTTAAAAACAGCTTTTCACAAACTGGAGAGCCAAAAAATACCCAAATCTCTCCTAAACAGTTAAGTAAAACCTCTGATGGGAATACTTTTGCTAGCCAAAGTAAAAAACAATATTGGAAATCGGAAGCCCATTGGAGATTGGTCTCTGGAGATTCAAAATATGAAGGTGAGGAGACCAAGCAGCATAGCAACAATCAGAAACCTTTTGCAAAACGCTTTAGTGCTGGCACAAAACAAAAAAACATAGCGAAGGACAAATGCATTCCCTCCACTTTATCTAATGCACAAAGTGATGCTGCAGAAAAGTTTGTGAACTTCCAGAAGACAGTTGTTGCTGAATCCTTTCTAGAACCAGTGTTTACAGGTGGTTCAGAAACAGATCAAAAGTCTATGGAGCAGAAGAAGGAACTTTCATCTGAAAATGATAGGTCCAATATGGAAGATGGAGGACTACTGGTTACCTTTCCACAAGAAGATTCCATCCCTAATTACAGACTTTCAGAAATGATGGAAATGTCAACATCAACAATGGAATTTGTGATGTATCCTCCTCATTTCTACAGTCACCAAATTAATGATTATACAAAACACCGGAGAAGCAATCCAAAGCCAACACATTATTTTACAAGATCCCCTGGAAACATTTCATATTCCAATAATCTCTATGACATTTCTTTAGAAAGAACAACAAATGCAGCAAAAGATAAAAAACCTTCAGTGGAAAGTGTGCAAGAGAAAGTGTGGTCATATGGTTCTTTACAGGACTATGAAGGGGAAAAAAGACCCCAAAATATGCAAAGAGGAACATATGTTCCCATCTTTTCTTCATCATGTAAGTCAGATTCTTTCACTCATAATTGTATAGACCAGGATTTGTCTATGAACTTGCCCAAATATTTAGAAGGCGGCTTTATTGACACACACTGCCATTTGGACATGTTATATTCAAAAACATCCTTCAGAGGAACTTTTTCTGAATTTAGGAGAAGATACAGCAGCACCTTTCCTAAAGAATTTCAGGGGTGCATAGCTGACTTTTGTGACCCTCATACTTTAAAAAACAACTTATGGGAAGATTTATTAAAGGAAGATATGGTTTGGGGGGCATTTGGCTGCCATCCCCACTTTGCTTGTTATTACACAGATCTTCATGAAAGAAATATCATGCAGGCAATGAGACACCCCAAATCTATTGCTTTCGGTGAAATAGGACTGGATTACTCTTATAAATGTCGTACAGAAATTCCAAAGCAACATGAGGTTTTTGAGAGGCAATTGAATCTAGCTGTTTCTTTAAGGAAGCCATTGGTCATTCACTGCAGAGATGCTGATGGTGATCTGTTAGAAATCATGAAAAAATGTGTACCAAAAGACTATAAAATACACAGACATTGTTTCACTGGCCGCTATAGTGTCATTCAACCACTTTTAGATTACTTTCCAAATCTAACTGTTGGATTCACAGCATTGCTCTCTTACCCATCAGCAAATGAGGTTAGAGACTCTGTTCGAAAAATCCCATTAAACAGAATAGTGGTAGAAACAGATGCACCTTATTTCCTTCCTCGACAGGTGCCAAAACGTGTAAGCCAGTTTTCGCATCCTGGATTAGCCCTGCACACAGTGAAAGAGATTGCCTGCCTCAAAGAAGTGCCATTACCTGCCACATTAGGTGTTCTAAGGCAAAATACCAACAAAATATATGACTTGTAAGAAGGTCAAAAGAAAGGGGGGAAACTAAAAGAGGAAACTCTTTTGTAAAATGATTACATCCCTTTAAATTTATTTTGTAATGTAATTATAGATTTGGGCTTCTACACTAATACTGAATACCCTTTCATAGCTTTTTTTTTAATTCCACCAATTCTGTTACAGTGTTTTCCTGAAAATAAGACCCTGTCTTATATTTTTTGAACACCAAAATAAGTGCTTGGCCTTATTTTTGGGGAGGTCTTCTTATTTTTGGGTACATGGAGCAAGACTGGGCTCCTCTTGCTGTCTTACCTGATTTCCAGCTCTGTCTCCCTCACCAGAGGAAATGGGGACCCGCTGCGCATGCATTAAAATATTTTCAGGGAGGGATTATTTTTGGGGAGGGATTATTTTTGGGGATGGCTTATTTTAGTGCATGCGCTCAAAAGCCTGATTGGGCTTATTATCAGGGGAGGTCTTATTTTCAGGGAAACACGGTACTTGTTCCTGCTGTTTGAAGTGCCTCAATGTTAATTTCAGTTCTAATAGCTTTGTTTAGTTGCTAATCCTTGTCGATGTTTTAATTTTTCAAGAAAGAAAACAGTGCTGTTAAAACTGTATTGAGCTGCACACCATTTAATTGCTGCAGCAAAAACATTACCATTTCCCCAAAAATAAGACCCTGTCTTATATTTTTTTGAACCCTGAGATAAGCATTTGGCCTTATTGCCATGTGCTCAAAAGCCCGATTGGGCTTATTAACAAGGGATGTCTTATTTTGGGGGAAAACAGGGTACCTATTCATGTAACATGTTTGTAGAAATAGCCTTAAAAATATAATGAAGTGTCTGTCCTTTTCTGATTTGTTTTTTTCAACATGTTAACCCAATTGCTCTTTTCAAAGATAGAAATGAATGATAAATTGTTTTTAAAGAGAAACTAATATTGTACACAGTACATATTGTTTAAAAACACTGTTAGTAAATGTCACAGATGTTCTCTAGCTTCATCCTGCTGAAATGAAAAATACCTGCATTCATGAAAAATAATGAAGCAAAGTTAAGAGATAAATTGGATGTCAAGGTTATTCATGAAAAACTGACTGAGTTTTTATTTGCATTTGGATTTTGTAATTTTAATCTCTTCGGAGAGTTCTTAATTCAGTAAGTGATTATATGTTTCTATAATTTTATATATTATTTTGACTTCGAACAACTTATCAACTTTCATTTTTAATTTTTCAATAATGAAAAATTAAAAATTCTCCAAGCTTATGTAGACCCCATTCATTCACAGAAATAAAGATTATGGTTGAAACTGAATCATTCAATCTTTTCATTTTTTTAGAAAAATTTTTAGAATCTAAAACAAAATCTAAAGAAATATTCAGGCCAGTCACCACAAAGGAGGTTTCCCAGTATAGAGCTATTCCTGCTAGCATCACTGGCAAGTCATTTGTAAGAGCCCTAGATCGGGGTGTCACTCCTGTTGGGGGCGCCTGTGGTGGCCGAGTTCTCTGCCAACAAAAACAGGCTCCCGAGCTCCATTTTCGGCTGCTATGGCCTCCTGCAACCCTCTGCCAGTGAAAACGGAGCTCGAGAGAGCCGCATGATTGGGAGCCTGTTTTCACTGGCAGAAGCACTGCAGGCTGGTCCTTTGCTGTTTCCAGAACGGCCTCACGGGTTAGATCTAAGTACCCCGTGGGTCGGATCTGCAAAAAATGGCTTATGACCACATACACACAACTATAGGTAGTCCTCAATTTACAACCATAATTGAGCCCAAAATTTCTATTGTTAAGTGCGACATTAGTTATGTGAATTTTGCCCCATTATATGACATTTCTTGCCACAGTTATTAAGTGAATCATTGCAGTTGTCAATTTAGTATCCTTGTTGTTAAGTGAATGTGGTTTCCCCATTGACTTTGCTTGTCAGAAGGTGGCAAAAGGTGATCATATGACCCCGGGACATTGAAACCATCATAAATATGAGTCAGTTGCCAAGCATTTGAATTTTGATCACGTGGCTATGGGGATGCTGCAATGGTTGTAAATGTGAAAAATGGTCATAAGTCACTTTTTTCAGTGCTGTTATAACTTTGAACAGTCAATAAATCAACTGTTGTAAAACGAGGACTACCTATACTGCAGCATCCTCTTAGTCATTGATCAAAATTGGGGCATGTAGTAATGTCAGTTGCACTGTCCCAGTGATCATGTGATTATCATTTGTAACCTTCACAGCCAGCTTCGGACAAAGTCTTGAGTCTTCGGAGAAAGACGGCATACAATTTGAACAAATAAATAAAGTCAATGGGGAAAGCCAGATTCGCTTAACAACCTCGTGATTCACTTAACAACTGCTGAGATTCACTTAACAATTGTGGCAAGAAAGGTTATAAAATGGGGCAAAACTCACTTAACAAGGGCCTAGTTTAGCAGTGGACATTTTGGGCTCTTTTGTGGTTATAATCAGTGGTGGGATTCAAATAATTTAACAACCGGTTCTCTGCCTTAATGATTTCTTCCAACAATCAGTTCACCAAACTGCTCAGAAAGTTAACAACCGGTTCTCTCGAAGTGGTGCAAACTGGCTGAATTCTACCACTGGTTATAATCCAGGACTACCTATACTCTCTAGATCACATTAACTATATGCGTAAAACTGCTTTACGGGACCGCCTGCTGCCACCAATAGCCTCCCACCGACCAGTACGCTCCCATAGAGAGGGGCTCCTCCGGGTGCCGTCGGCCAAACAATGTCGACTGGCGGCCCCCAGGGGGAGAACCTTCTCTGTGGGGGCACCTACGATCTGGAATGAGCTCCCCCCGGAGATATGGAGGATTCCGGATCTGCGTACCTTCTGTTGCGCGCTTAAGACGTTCTTATTCCATCAAGCTGGCCTGACCTAAACTTTTCCTCTTTTTAAATGGAATTTTAAATTTGGTTTTAATTTATTGGGGTTTTAAAATGGTTCAGCCAAATTTATTTTATTAGTTTTATCTCTATTTTAAATTTTGTATCTATATGTTTTATTTTATGGCTGTTCACCGCCCTGAGTCCTTCGGGAGTAGGGCAGTATATAAATTTAATAAAATGAAAATGAAAATGAAATGAAATGCTGAATTCCATGGCAATTTTAGCTTCACATGTGATGATTTTCAGATGAAGTTTAATAGTCGTCTTTCCAATTCTCCAGATAAACTTCACAACTTGCAAATGTGCTTTTTAATTCAAAGACAGGATGTGCCTAAGAGATATCCATCTAAATAAGAGATTCTGTCCTATAAAAATACATACTCCCTGCTTCCACCCACAGTTTAGAATCAAGGAGTGAATGAGTGTTTCTCTTTTAGGAAAGTTGATGGCCGCATTCGTTTTCTAGCTGTTCTAATACAAAGTCTGCCAGCATCCTATGTCACCATCGCTTTACTGGCAAGGGCTCATTTATCACAAGTTCCAAGCCCACAGTAAATGAAATTATGCTTTCAAGAGTGTTTTTTATGCAGAAGGGTGCTTTGAACCTAGAATTCCCTCGAAGCAGAGTCAATAACTGAAGAACTGAGGGAGAAAAGAGTGAGGGGGGGAAAAAAACAATTTTCAAACAAAATTAGAGGAGCAGTTTAAGGTGTTTATTTTAAACTGATTTTTCCAAATCTTTTTTGGATTTAACCTGCATACCTATTAGCTAATTAAAGAGGATACACATGGTAGGGTGGTTGTTTTTTTAACTTGTTGCTCCATTTTGAATTAACTCAAATCCCAGGAAGAACAACAAAACATTTTCTTTGTCCTGTTTAAATTAAGATCCAGGAAAGGCATGTAATTGTTTACAAACAGCTTAACTGCTTTAGTACAAATATTGCTTTACATTCTTATATCCAGTTAAAATAAATCCCTTTGGATTTCTTCAAAGAAACCTTCAAGGGGCAAAATTATTTGCAAGCAAATTGGGATCAGTGCTACTGATGGGCTTTAATTTATTTGTATAAATTAAGAGAGAAAAGCCCTACAAACAACCCGGGAAAGGATTTTTTTTTTTTTCCACATACTGGAAAGGACAGGGCTATAGGTGCACGTTCTTAAAAAGACCTCTCCTTTAGAGTATAATTCCTGGATAGATTTGTAAGAAAAGAAACTAGCCATTAAATAATAAGATCCTAGTTTCATAGCTTCATACTAACTTCTTAAATTGCACCTGCTAAGCCATTGGGAACAGCACAGGCATGGAAAACTGCAGAGGAAGCAAGGGTTAGCACATGACGTCACTTGTGTTATGACCAGAGGTGGGTTTCAGCAGGCTCTGACCAGTTCTGGAGAACCGGTAGTGGAAATTTTGAGTAGTTTGGAGAACCGGTAAATACCACCTCTGACTGGCCCCGCCCCCATCTATTCTCTGCCTCCTGAGTCCCAGCTGATTGGGAGGAAATGGGGATTTTACAGTATCCTTCCCCTGGATTGGGGAGGGAATGGAGATTTTACAGTATTCTTCCCCTGCCACACCCACCAAGCCACGCCCACTAAACCATGCCACACACCCCCAAGCCACGCCCACAGAACCGGTAGTGAAAATTTTTGAATCCCACCACTGGTTATGACGTCATTTGAACACTTATTGACCCAATGCATACAATAGCATTGTGGTTGTTGGATTCTTAATAAATTCTGGTTTTAAGAGTGGAAGCATTATATAATACATGTCCTTTGAAACTGTAAACAGCCTAGCAGCCCAATTTTACACCAATTGCACCGATTTATACCAATTTTACACACTTCTCAAGGGAAGTTCCACATATACGCCTAGTAAAGATACTAGATAAAGATACACATAATGTTCACAGATTGAGCGAAGAAGAAATCAATTTATCCGATGGCTATAGCTGCAATGAAAAGAATAAAACTGGCCCTTTTTTTATTCTCTTAAATATATTGTTCTCTCCTGAGGGGAAATCAATACCTTTTTCAAAACGCACATTTCCCTGGAAGTTATTTCTGATACAGACACAATTCAAGTAACAT